CACACCACTAAAGAAATTGTTGAAAAAAAAATGGGATTGATGTATTTTGCTAATTGGAAACCAAAGTTAGTGGGTTCAGAGCTGAGAATGTAGTAAGGAATTGGGTTCTTCATAATTGGCTTCGGTTGGAGGCTATGGGTTTTGATGGTGGTCTGGATGTTTTGGAATGAGAATAAATTCCAAGTGGAATATCCTTTTCCTACAACTCAATTAATTCAAAGTAAAATTTTAGGAAATTCCACCAATGAGGTTTCTCTTGCTACGTTTGAGTATGGAGAAATAAACAATGTTAGAAGGAACGGCCTATGGAAATCTCTGAGAACCATTGCAGGATCAGTGAATGTTGCTTAGACAGGGATTTTAAATCTTGTATTTCACCATCGAACATATCTCCTCTTAGTGCTTGGGCTATGATGAGTTTTTCAGATTGTGTTAATGACTGTGGTCTTTCTAAAGTTCCGGTAGTGGGAATATGTCACACATGGGAGAATCAAAATCCTCAAGAAAAATTTAATTGGGCGTTTAGTAATTTGCAGTGGAAAATGAAATATCCCCACTTGAAAGTTTCTCATCATTTATGCTTTAAATAGAATCATAGAGTGGTTGTAGTGGCCACGAACTGCTCTTCTAGAGAAAATAGATCTGGGAATCACTTCAATACCATCCTGCTTGGGCCCTTGAAGATATTTTCCAATAAGTGGTGAGCAGTCCATGGGCCAATTTGGAATGGCGTGAAGGATTGGAAAAGTTTGTTAGGGAGGCCACCAAATGGAATTGTAACTTGGTTGGTAACATTCTTAAGGAAATAAGATTCCTGATTAAGGGGTTGGAAGGGATTGACTGAGCTAGGAGGACTAAAACTGCTAATAGGCTCAACAAACTTGAAAAACAATTGCGGAAGGAGTGTCACAGCTTGCAGCTTAGGAGGAACTCATTTGATATGAAAAATTTTGATCCAAATGGCTCCAATGGGTGATAGAAATACTCTATTTTTTCCAAGCATCAACAGTGATTAAAAGGAAGAAACAGACAGTGGACGTTCTCCAAGATGAGCTAGGAATTGGGGTACAAATCAGTGTTCTAAGGAAAATGGCAAGAGATTTCTATGAGAAACTATATACTAAAGACCAGCAAGTATTTTCCCTTCGAAATCTCGGAGGGATATAGATAATCTCCACAAAAAAGTGTCGAGTGTGGAAATAAAAAATGCCGTGTTTATGATGGGTGTCTCTAAAGCTCGGGTCAGATGGTTTGCATGCTCAAATTTTTCAGTCATAGTGGCAACATGTGAGTGACAAGGTGTTCTCTTACATTCAGGAAATTTGGAGGAATCGAGCAGAATTGGGGGAGATTATCATACCAACCTAGTGCTCATCCATTACGTATGATGGACTTTAAACCTATGTCTCTTTCAAATTTGTTGTTCAAGATCATTACCAAGATTATTGCAAGCAAGTTTAAGGGGTAATGAATCATTTAATTCTACCAAAGTAGTGCAGTTTCATTGCTAGAAGATAAAGTTGTGATAACGTGATTATAGAACAGGAATCCCTCATCACTTCAATTTGATCACTAAATGCTTCACCGAAAAAGTAAGAGGCCATCCGCAGAGAAAATATGTGACTATCAGCCCATGAGGATTGATTTTTAGCCCTTTTCCATCTCCCCACCTCTATTTCATGCTTGATTGGCTGTCCAAGTCCTTCCATAAAACAAACAAATAAGTATGGATTTAATGGATTCCCTTGTCTAACCCCTCTTGTCGGAAGGAATGTGTGTGAGGCCTCACCATTACTTTCAAGAGTATTTTGCAAAAAACATTAATCCAATTTGTCATAGTCCTTCTTCATGTCTACTTTAATTGCCACATATCCGTTCTTCCCTTTTTGGATTCTCATGTATGAAATGGTTTTGTTTTGTGGTGTTTCAGGACAAGGAATCAGTCTAGAGAAGTCCAAAGCTTTTCTGACCAAAAAAAAAAAAGTCCAAAGCTTTCTTCTCTAGGTCAGTGGGTTTCAACTGGGCAATGCAATTAAGCCAGATGTTAGGCATCAATATAATGGCAGATATGGGGAAATACTAGAGCTACTTATTTTCTCATTGTATATACTAAAATTGAGCAATGCAATTAAGCCAGATGTTAGGCATCAATATAGTGGCAGATATGGGGAAATACTAGAGCTACTTTTTTTTCTCATTTTATATACAAAAAGTCCAAAAATGGCTTGCCTCCTGGAATGGGCGGTTTTTTAACATGGCAGATAGAACTATCTCAACAAAATCTATTCCATCCACATTGCAAAGTTATCAAATGAAATTTCTCTGCTTTCTGAAGATGTCTTGAGAGAAGTTGAGAAACTCAGTCGGAAATTTCTTTGGAACTTGGATCAACAGCGGAGGAAAATGCACCTAATTGCTTGGCATTAGATTAAACAAGATAAAAATAATGGGGGTCTTGGTATAAAGGACTTGCAATGTCAAAATATTGCTTTTATTATAAACCTTTGTTGGGGTATTCTCACAAACCCCAAAGCTTTTATGGGTCAGGTGTTAGAGAAGCAAATATCATTGTGGAAATGAAGCATGCCTGTAAGTGATTTTTTTTTTTTTTTGGGGGGGGGGGGGGAGGGGGATTGCTCTGGAGTTATGGAGAGGGATCACAAGTGTTTGAGAAATTTTTATAAAGGTGTGAGGCATGAAATCAGGAACGAAGTTCATACCTACTTCTGGTGGGATATCTGGAAATTGTTGGAGGAGCCGCTGATTCATTGTGTGGAAAATAATTCTCACCAACCGGACCCCATTGCCTTGGTCAAGTCTTTCACTCTTGCAAATGGTGAATGGAATGCGCTAGAATGGAGAAGATTTCTCCCTATTTGGGTAGCAAATAGTGTCTAAAGTTAAATATCCTAATGCCAATGGAAATGATCGAGTTTGTTCGAGAAACCCATGTGATGGAAATTTGCATGTTAAGGCATGCCAAGACTTTGGTGTTAGGTAGGCCAAGGTGTGGAAACTTCCAGTGCCAGGAATATTAATTCTTGCTTTAGCAAGTCGCCCTTGAGACACTACCTACAGACTCAATTAGAGCCTTGAGAGATTTAAATACTAATGTAGATCAGTGTTCTTTTGAGTGTTTAAGAGAAGAAAACAATCCGCGTATCTTGAGGGACTGTGAAATGGCTTAGAGATGTCTGGCTTAAATTGGTTCATCCTAACCACTTGTTTCGTTTTTTTTTTTTGGTTCTAGCATGCATGTTTAGCTTAAGGAGAACTTATCAACAAGTTTAGGGCGGGAACAAATCCATCACTGGCCATGGGCTAAACTTTCTGCTACGATATGTTGACTACTATGGAAGAATAGGTGCAAAGGGGCAGGTTATGGATAGAAGCAGATCTCATCCACAACAAATCATTCATGCTGGTTTATAACAAATGGAGTCCATCTAGAATGCTGAATTACAACACAAGATTTTTGGTGCTGCTACACCGCAGGAAGATGGATACGAACCACCTCCAGAGGATTTGTTCATCTCGGTACAGACGGATCGGTTACTTAGCTTCATCTAATAATGGCATGTAGGGCACTCATTTGGAACTCGAGGAGAATGACCTATGGGACTTCGGAGAAAATTGGGTTTGTTGCCACCTACTTCTGCGAAATTGATGGCATTGCTGAGAGGTCTCAAGTTGTGTAAATTGCAAGGCTACAGCAAAGTAATCTTGCACACTGATTCTTTGGAACTGTATCACCGAATTATGATTGATGGTGAAGTGAATCACCCACTTTGGACTGGGATTAATGAGGTTAGGAAACATCTATATTCCGGTTGGGACATCTCCATCTGATATGCTCCTCCATTAGCTATCCACTATGCAGATTTTGTGGCCAAAAAGGCGCACGACATCCATGAAGATATGATCATGCTGGCTAATCCTCCCTGTGAAATCATGGCTCGATTGCGAGTTGATATGGCTCAATCTCTCTGGGTTTGTTTGTTGTAATTTCAAGCGGTGAGCTTGCCTTTCCTTATTTCAAAAAAGAAAAAGAGAAAAAAAAAAAGTTTCACTCCAACATAAAAAAACAAACGCATACTTGTATATATATTTTCTTTGATCATTAAAGATTGGTCCTAGTAATGAGAATATCATTTATGGATTTCAAAAGGCTTTGTTTCCTGCGGGTTGTAACTCTTTCCAATAAAAAATATAAAGTAGTTTAATATGTGTCAATTATTGGCTTACCCCTTCTCTTAGCAATTTTTGCTAAAAAACCACAAAAACAAAGAACCTTGAAATTACTAAATTCCAAATAAAAAATTTCTACAAAAATGTGTTATTATTTACAAATTTAGCATTTTCAAAACCTATTAAAGTGTTATTATCAAATCGAATTTAAAATTGAGTAATTTTAAGCTTCTTTTTGTAAGGTTCTCCACATATATTATTCCATACCCAATCAGATAAGTTTTTCAAAACAATTATTTAATGTATTTGGAAATGCAATTTGATTTCTAGACTTACTGATCTCAAGCAGAGTATTAATAAAGTTCAAATCTCAAAATCATTCTATGTTCCTTAAAATTAACTCCATGTTGGTGTTTGAAATTCATTACAGGGAATAGCAAATTACACCTCTACATGATCATCAATAATCTGTAAGAAATATATTCATGGTAGGCTTTGGGGTTTCGTGACACATAAAACTTACTTTTTATTTTATAATAAGGCAACATGATATTGAGAAATAAAATATAAAACTCTTACAATTCAATATATCTTACTCAAATAAAGAGCTAATACATCAGTTTTTTTTTTCAAAAACAAAAAAATGCATCATATGGTTGATTCCTAATTATATTAAATAGCTGCAAAACTATACATGAGAACTTAATAAGGTTTCTAAATACAACCACTGGTCAGTGAAAATAATAATTAAAAAAAAGTGTTACTTGTTGAATTAGGACATTAAATTAAAATTAGTGAAAACAAATAGCAAATAATATGCCACATTATAAAAACGCTGTTATTATACGTTGATACTGCTTATTTATTGAACTCTTCTGGAGTGCATAACAAAAGACAAAAGAATTGCCTCTATCAATCCCTCCCTTTGTATTGCCACCGTTTCCATAAGGTGCAAATCCCAAAATAACCTCACAGTATGCCTCACATTTCAGAGTTATTGAATTATTCATGCATCTTATTTCACCTTTCAGGGCCACAAGGTATTAATGTTTCTGGCTCTAAATGTATCGCTATTAAAAATGAAGTAAAGGAAAATAAAGAGGAGGGGACATCTTACACTGATCGATTGGCATGCAAGTTCACATGTGCTTTAGCACAGTCGTACCAAATGCAATGCCGAGAAAAGTTGCAATGGCGATTCCAAAGATGCCAGCAAGAATGCCAGGGACTATGAGAGAGGTCCAACCTTTTGCCGTAGCCATTCCACATGCAGTAGTAGGACCTCCAACGTTGGCATTTGATGCAATGAGCAACAATTTCAAGTCAAAACGAAAGAGCCTTCCCAAGCCCAGAATCACAGCAAGATGGATTGCTATTTGAACAAAAGCAAACAGAAAAATACTGGGTGCTGTGTTGATCACACTCCATATGCTTCCACTTGCACCTATTACCGCAAAGAATACCTATTTCTCACAGGCAAGCCAAAAGTCATGCAGTCAATTTCAACAACGATCCTGTGGATATTTCATAAATCATCAATACAATACATTCCATAAAGAATAAAAGGAAGGAAACATGACATTTGTGTTGCCAGCAAAACAAAACTCATGATGAAAGACCAAATTAAATTATTTCTAAATGTTGGATCCACTCAAAACCAGCAAGAGCAAAAACATATCTAACCCATAGTCCACAGAACAAACTAATAACCACCACTTGCCCCATTTTTTCTCTGATCATATTTGCTACTATTTTTACTCCTCGCTCCCAACAGCCTCACCTGTCATAATTTTTCTGAAGAATTATAACATTTTAAATAAATTAGATTTTATTAAAATTTATATATATATTTTCATTTTGTGCATAAAAATTAGCTTGTGTCCTCTTCCTAGTACATAGGAATAGCTGGTCAATGACACACTAACCAATCAGCAGTACCATTAAATACAAACCCACCTGCATGAGAATGACAGCCATAGCCTCACCAGATGGTGCAAGAAAAGCAAATGGTTTTGGAAATGCAGTTGCGAGTATTACAACAATTGCAGTTATAACTGGCAGATTACCCCCCGGGATTCCAAAATAACGAATAAGAAAGGCAGCAGTCTTGCAGATGGTGAAGGCCACAGCAAGAGCAGTTGCCATTTGTAGCACCGGAAGTTTGTTCCCAGACTCAGATTCTGAATTCAATGCATCATCTGCCAAACTCGATGAGTTAGCTGTCACTGTGACTGATATACTTGTTATTCAATTCCATTGGCCATATCTAGTACCATAGAAGCATTGAAAGGTAATGAATCTAAAATTTAAGTGAATATAATGTGTATCGAAAATCATACAGACCTACTCGCGAAAACATAAGAAGATGCAAGTAAATGGACAGGATGTTTTATAAGTTGACTTTCTGATTCCTACCTTTTTGGAGAAAGTGTCAGTAACCTAGTATACTTTTGTGTGCCGTAGACCTGAATTGTATTAGGGCATTTTGGGGGACTGTGTTGACCAACTTCATTGAGCATATAGTCATTGGTTTGTCCCTGGGAGGCTCTTAGGTCATATTTTGAAGAGTGTTTTGGTGAGGAGAGTGCTAGCCTCTCGAATGCTAGGTCTAGGAATTATTTGTGAGACACTGTCATATTTTCGGTTGTAACTTCTTCCTTGTCTCATTGAGAAGGAGGAACGGATTAATATTATTCAGATTCAATATTTTGAACTTTTCTATTCTGGTTCCTATCATTTGGCATCAGAGCAACTGATCCTGAGGATTAATGATGGCCGAGAGAACTCAATCAAAAGTGAAACAGTTGGGAGAGGAAATGAGAAGAATGTCGAGAAAGGTGGCTATTCTCAAAGAAATGATTTTAAGAATAGATGCTACATTAGAGCAAATGCAGAAGCAAGCTAAGGAGTCAGTCAGAGGAGGACCGCATCAAGGAGAGGAAGAAGCAGATAGCCATGGCTAGGGAACGAAAGAAACAGTTAATTACCAGAAACTAGAATTACCAATCTTCACTGGAGAGGATCCGATCGGGTGGTTTTTCCATGTTGAACGCTACTTCAATGTTAATGCCATCACTGAGAAGGAGATGTTAGCGGCAGGGGTGGTGTGCCTGGAAGGGAAGGCTCTGAACTGGTACCAATGGAGAAAGACATGATATCTGGTGAGAAACTGGTCCGAATTCAAGCATGAGTTACTAAAACGTTTCCATTCTTCCCAATGAGGAAGGGAATACCAACTCTTATTTGCGACAAAGCAAGAAGGTTCGGTGGTGGAGTATGTGGAAGAATTCGAGCACCTATCAGCTCCACTTAAGGACACATCTGAAGAGTGCCTCATCAAAGCCTTTATTAACGGCCTAAAGGCCAAAATCCGAGCCGAGTTGAAGCTGGCAAAAGTGATGACCTTCAACGACTTAATGGAAATGGCAATCTGTGTGGAGGAAAAACTGAGAATAGTTGAAGATGAAGTGGGCCCTAGGGTCAATCGAGCCCACAAACCGAATACTGGGTCAAAGGGTTACTCAAGTTAGCCATTCTTCTCACGGGTTATGCACGTGTTGGAGATTAGTCAAGGCTTTGCCTCTGCAGCGACACTTGCAAGCTCGGACAGCGTGAGCAAGAACGAGAACAAAACAGGGGAATCAAAAGTGGTGAGTACAGCGACTGGTACTTCGGTTAAAAGGGGAGGCAGTTCTTGGCAGCTACCAGACTCTGAGATTGCACGAAGAAGGGAGTTGGGATTGTGCTTCAAGTGTGGAGAGAAGTATGGACCGACTCATACTTGCAGAAACAAGAATCTACAGGTCATCATATTGGACATGGAGGAAGAGACCGAGGAGGGAGGAGATCGGTGAGTTCGAAGAAGACTCCTTGCCAGGGAATGGGGCTACTTGAATGAAATTTTCCCTGAACTCCATGGCAGGTTTTGGCAGTAACCACACTATGAAGGTACGCAGACGGTTGGCAGGGGAAGAGATTGTAATCCTTATTGACAGTGGAGCCATGCATAATTTCATTACGGAGGAGTTATTAGATAGAACCCAACTGGAGGTAGATGAGATCGCCAAATACTCAATCACAGTGGGTGATGGATATGCATTACGGCGGAAATAGAGGTCTAAGGGGGTGAAGATGAATGTGCAAGGGCTCGAGGTGGTGCAGACATTCTACCTGTTCCCCTTGAGCGGAGTGGACGCAATATTAGGAGTTGAATGGTTGAAATCCTTAGGGGAGGTGAAAGTAAACTGGGGCCTCCTAACTATGAAGATTGGCAATAAAGGAAACCGAACCTGTCTAAAGGGAGACCCGTCACTCTCACGCATACAGGTTTCCTTGAAATCACTACTTAAGGCCGTAAAAAAGAAGGGGCAAGGGTTTCTCATTGAATATAGCGGCTTAGAGGGTAGTTTGGAAGAGAATAAGAATGTTCCGGAGGAAGTACAGAGCCTGTTAGAACGGTATTCAGCGGTGAGTCATGCTTCTGACAAGTTGCCACCGAGAAGACCCTAAGATCACGCGATAATGATCAAACCAGGGGAATAGCCACCGAATGTGCACCCCTACAGATACCCACATCTCCAAAAGAATGAAATTGAGGTGATGATAAGAGATATGCTGCAAGCGGGGATAATACAACCAAGCACCAGTCCTTACTCTAGCCCAGTGTTATTGGTTAGACAGATGGAAGATGGAGGTTTTGTATGGATTATCAAGCTCTAAACAAGATTATGGTACCAGAAAAATTCCCTATTCCAGCCATTGACGAGTTGTTAGATGAACTACAAGGCTCCACAGTATTTACAAAGCTAGATTTGAAGTCCGAGTACCACCAGATTCGCATCAAAGCAGGAGATGAACACAAAACAGCTTTTTGGACTCACGAGGGTCATTATGAGTTTAAGGTGATGTTGTTCGGTCTTACTAATGCCCCCTCTACTTTTCAATCCTTGATGAATCATATATTTAGAGAGTATTTACGTAAACTTGTGTCAGTATTCTTTGACGATAAACTTGTCTATAGTAGTGATATCAACACTCACTTGATACATTTGGAGAAAGTGTTCTCTATTTGAAGGAGAATCAACTTGTAATCAACCTCATGAAATGTAGCTTTATGCAACCAAGGATAGAATACCTGGGGCACATTATATCAAAGGAAGGAGTGCAAGCTGATTCGACCAAGGTTGAGAGCATGATGAAGTGGCCACAACCCGAGAATGTTAAGTCCTTACGAGGATTTCTAGGGTTAACAGGGTACTACCGCCGATTTGTCAAGAATTATGGGAAGATTGCAAGCCCCTTAACTGACTTACTCAAAAAAGATGCCTTCAAATGGTCTACAGAAGCCTCTAAAGCTTTTGAAAAGCTCAAATCTGCCATGACAAGTCTACCCGTGCCAGCCATGCCTGACTTCACAATGCCCTTTGAGCTGAAAACCGATGCTTCGGGGACTGGAATTGGGCCGGTTTTGATGCAAAAAGGGCAACCGATTGCTTATTACAGCCAAAAACTATCTACAAGGGCCCAACACTGTTCAGTTTATGAAAGAGAGTTGATGGCAATTGTGATGGCAATCAAGAAATGGAGACATTATCTATGGGGACAGAAATTCCAGATTAAGACCAACCAAAAGGCCCTAAAATACTTGTGGAACAGCGAGTTTTGGAAGAGAATCAGCAGAAGTGGGTGTCCAAGCTATTGGGATTTAATTTTGAAATTGTGTACAAGCCAGGCAAGGAGAACAGGGCAGCTAATGCTCTCTCAAGGCAAGAAGAATCTGCTGAATTGATGGGATTTTCCTTGTGGCAGTGTGCAGAAATGGAAGAATGGGAGAAAGAAATTCAAAACGACCCTAAACTTAACCAGATCCTACATCAAGTTATTGCAAACGACAAAAGGTGTTGAAGGATACAGCTTAATCAAAGGGTGCTTACATTATAAAGGGAAGCTAGTGTTGCCAAAAATTTTGCACGGATTCCTTTACTAATGAAGGAGTATCATGATTCACCAATGGGGGGTCATTCCGGCTACTTGCGCACTTATAAAAGGCTAGTCAGTGTTGTGTACTGGGAAGGCATGAAAAGAGACAGTCAACAGTATGTTGCCCGAGTGAAGTATGCCAAAGGAACAAATATCAAGCCCTTACAACTGCCGGATTGCTTCAGCCACTGCCTACCCTTCAAGGAGTTTGGGAGGATATAAGCATGGATTTCATCTCGGGGCTGCCTAAATCAAGGAGGTACGACACCATACTGGTGGTAGTTGATCAGTTCACTAAATATGCTCACTTTCTACCACTCACTCACCCTTTTACTGCCAACGACATAGCTGAAGTATTCATTCATGAGGTTGTTAAGCTACATGGGTTCCCTAGAACAATTGTTTCTGATCAAGATAGAGTCTTTGTGAGTCTGTTTTGGAAAGAAATGTTCAAGCAAGGTGGTACACAGCTTTGTCTCACTTCTATCTGAAGACCGACGATCAAGCAGAGGTGCTCAACAGGGGACTGGAAACTTATTTGAGGTGTTTCGCAAGTGACAAACCCAAACAATGGGTGCAGTGGTTACCTTGAGCAGAATACTGGTATAACACAACACACCAAAGTGCAGCCAACATGACACCCTTTAAGGCGGTGTATGGTAGAGACCCCCCCGACATTCCTCAAATTACACGATGAATGTTCAGCAGTGGATGCTGTAAATGAGCAACTTCAAGCAAGGAATGCAATTATTTCCACTCTTTAGGAGAACTTGCTCAAGGCTCGAGAACAAATACAGCACCAAGCCAGAAAACACAGATGTGCAGTTCGAGATAGGGGAGCATGTGTATGTCAAGATCAAGCCTTATAGATTGCACACCCTGGCTAAAAGGGTCAATGAAAAGCTTAGCCCGTGCTTTTATGGGCCTTTTAGGATTGTGGAAAAGGTTGGAGCAGTGGCATATCGATTAGAGCTTCCTCCTACAGCCCGGGTGCAGCTGGTTTTTCACGTCTCCAGCCTAAAGAAGTCTGTTCAACCAGCAATGGCCACTCCCAATTTTCCCACAGCTCTATCCAATCAATTGGAGCTGTAAGTGGAACCATAGGACATTTGCAAGGTGAGGAAATTAACGAATGGTCAACTAGAAGTGCTCATCAAGTGGAAAGACCTACCAGACTTTGAAAATTCATGGGAAGATGCTGCAATCATTTCTCAGCAATTTCCTAATTTTCCCCTTGAGGACAAGGTGAAACATTTAGGGGTGGGAAATGATAGGACCACACATGCTAAACAAACCTACTCGTGAAAACATAAGAAGATGCAAGTAAATGGACAGGATGCCTTATAAGTTGACTTTCTGATTCCTACCTTTTTGGAGAAAGTGTCAGTAACCTAGTATACTTTTGTGTGCCATAGACCTGAATTGTATTAGGGTATTTTGGGAGACTGTGTTGACCAACTTTGTTGAGCATATAGTCGTTGGTTTGTCCCTGGGAGGCTCTTAGGTCATATTTTGAATAGTGTTCTGGTGAGGAGAGTGCTAGCCTCTCGAATGCTAGGTCTACGGATTATTTTGTGAGACACTGTTGTATCTTCGGTTGTAACTTCTTCCTTGTCTCATTGAGAAGGAGGAACGGATTAATATTATTCAGATTCAGTATTTTGAGCTATTCTGTTCTAGTTCCTATCACCCAATCTATAAAATATAAGAAACAAAAACCAATCATGAAATGTTATGCAAGAATGAGACAAATCAGTTTCACTTCAAAGTGTGCCTAACACGCTTACAAGTTATTTCCTGTATTAGAATGCTCCAACAAAGAATTCTTCACTTGTAAACAAGAAGGAAGAGACGTTACCATTTCCGGACGATGAAGCCTCTTGAGGCACTTTAGAGGCTAGGGCAAACAATGTTGAAAAATATAATGCACAGATGACATTATCTGCAGCTAACCCAGCAGTTAGAACTGAAGGAGATACTTCAAGTGCATTAGATATGGCAACATAGTTGACAGCTGAACAAGGGAAACTATTCATCATCAGTGAAGCTATACCAAACCACATTTGGGTTGAAGATTAGAAACCACTATTTACAAGATAACGAAATGACCTCCACCAATATGTCTGCCCATGAGTGCAGCTGCTATCTTCCAACTATCCTGACCAAGTGATCGCATTGGAACCAGCACATATGCTATCGCTGTTCCAACTGTTGTTGCAACTGTCAATGAAGAATAAAAATATCAATGGAATCTGAAATGATACAAGAACCAAAAAAGTATATATACATGTGACAAGTTGTTCCACTTTGTAATGGTTATAACTGTAAGAGTAATTTTCAAACATTTCCCTGAGAAACGATTTTGTTTTTAATTGGTTCCAAAGTTGGACCCATGTTTAAAACTGACCAACAAAAAAAGATACAGCTTTTGATAAATCAAAAAGTGTAGGAAATTGAAGGAGACTCTAAAGATAAAATTATGGGGAGAATTACTGAGTTCCCAAGAAAAGTAAATGACTACGAAAAAGTCTTAATGACAAGTAAGAAGTTGTTATTTTCTGTACTGGAACTTGTTATTATAGGCTGCCTTGTTATAACTGGGACTTTATAGCAAGTATATTTCTTTGAGACTTCGTAGCAATTCTCCCAAAATTGTTTTGCTGGAAAGCTGCTGAGGAACAACAAACAAGATAATCTTCTTACCACTTCAAGGCATTCAGATAGAATAGCTAGCCAGAAGGTTTAAAAGTATTAAGTACTTAATAAGATACACAAGCCAAATGGGAAGAATTTTTTTACATGGGATAAAACAGCATTAAGTTCATAGAGTTGAAGAATTTGCTAAAGAGAGTAGCAATGGTGATTTCCTATTTTATTGTACTTACTGACTGTAAAAGTAAGAACTAACAAAGTGTATAATTTTGAAAACTGGAGTAGACCAATCAATTCAACCTACAAAACCAGTAAAACAGTGCCTCATTTGGTCTAAAGAATAAGGTGAACCAGCATAGCTGATATCCAGATAAAAACTGCTAAAACCAATTAAAAAAATATGAAAACTAGCAAACATAGAAAACTCAAAGGAGAAAGTTCAGTTTGTATAGCAACTGATGGCCAGAGTACCCTGCTGGGAACTACCTCTGAAGCACTGTAGCTTATTGCCAAAGAGGTTGAGAGATCATACCATGGAGGAGCGTAGTCCCCGGGGAAAAATAAGATGCCATCATTTTTTATCTAAAGTAGAATGGAGAAGAAGCAATATCCTAGCCCTTCTTCATTGCACGTCACCTAGGCAATTATTTTAAGGATTAAGATGTAATTTTAGCAACAAAGTTTATCTCAAGGGGCACTGAGCACAATAAAGTTTATTTGGGTTCAAAAATATACATGAAATTGTCAAAAAGGGACATTTGGCACAACTCTGTTAACATCCGTTAATTTACTATTAGTGGAACCTATGAAGTCAGTTTTAATGTGCATTTTTAACAACAAAATTTACATCAAAAGGTATTGTGTAACATCCTAACTTTTGAGCCTAGAAGTACTAAAATTAGTCTAAAATGGATAGGCTACCAGACCCGTTATGGCAGGAGTTCCAAAAGTTCTCTGAAAGGATAGAAAGATTCTTAGAAACCAAACTACAAAGTAAAAGTTTCTGGGACTGAGAAAAGAGGAAGTTAAAGACTCGGATAAAGTCTCAAGGCTCAAGAATAAGAAATAGAGATAGATGTAAGCCAAAAGTTATGTTAGAGGCCTCAATGAGATGAATTATAGAGTTAAGCTAAACCAAGGATAAAATCGCAATTTTACAAAACTTCGGGCTGGAAAGGACAAATATGAAAATTATGCCCAAAAATTCTAGAAAAATCCCAAAAAATATCAAATGCATGCTAAGACCTGTATGTGAAGAAAAATTACAAAAATGCCCTTGAATTGACTTTAAATGAATTTTAAAGATTTTTACTTATTTTGAGGTATACAGTCAAATTTAATTATTTGAGCCATGAGGAGGCCTAAGAAAAGTAAGTATAAATGAGGATTCATAAGTTGAGGTTACAAAAAATTATGGGGGTGTTTGGCAAATGGGGCAAAAGTGCTTCTGGGCCCCAAACCTTGGTTTAGAAAAGCTGATTGCCAAACACCCCATTTTTTTTTAAAACCAAGGTTTCAGTCAAAACCTTGTTTTTGGCCAGCAAAACCAAGGTTTCCAGTGAAGCAAAAAATTGTAGCTTCTGGGATTGAACACTAATTGGGTGGAGTAATAATTGGTCCTGTTAGAAGCTCCAACGGTGAGAAATTACTCTGCCTCTTCTCCCATTCCTTTGCCGTCGCCTTTCCAAGATAGCACCGAAATACTTCTGCCTCTTCTCCTATTCCACCCGTCGCCTTCGACCGAGCTTCTGGCCACAGGTGAGATAGCACCGAAATACTCTGCCTCTTCTCCCATTCCTTTGCCGTCGCCTTTGACCGAACTTTGGACACAGGTGAGATTGTGTTGAGCTCGTGAATTTCGGCCCTGGTGAGGTGTTCATCGGCTTGGCAACACAAGATCCCGTGCTGGGTTGGCTGATCGATTCGTCCATTTCTGATAGCTGCGTTTTTCAGTTCGTCCAGTCGGCGTGTCTTCCATGAGCGAGGCATACTTACCGGTAAGAAACATATATTTTACCCGAAGAAAAAAACCATATCTATCGGATCCCATTCCTTTGCCGTCGTCGCTGCTGAAATTTCAACCGAACTTCTGGCCACAGGTGAGATCGTTGTCAGCTCGTGAATTTCGGCCTTGGTGAGGTGTTTATCGGTTTGGCAACAGAAGATCTCGTGCTAGGTTGCCTGATCCATTCTTCCATTTCTGATAGCTGCGGTGTGCATTTCGTCCGGTCAGGTAACTTCTCCCCTTCATTTCTGATCTGATGCAATGAAGATGACGCGTTCATTTATCTGATTGATTTCTGGGTGGAGTTCGATTACCCATTACCGTCGGTGTCCTTTTTTTTTTTTTTTTCCGTTCGACTGTGTCCTGTTTGATTTTTTCCGGTGTCCAGCTCAAAGGCGTGAAGAAGATGCCTCATGGAAAACACGAAAAAAAAAGAACAAAATGGGACCGGACTGGTGTTGGGGGCGGCTTATTAGTATTATAAATATGATGGCAAACTTTCCTGATTATTTGACATTTTGATCTCTATTTCGTTACTAGCTGGACTATTTATTTTCACTTATTCTGAAATAAAAGCTAGTACTACAAGAAATGAAATATCTAGGATTGTTACCCTGTGGCAGTGTTTGGTTTTCAGCTGTGTTTATTTCTTGATGATGTTAAATGACCCACAATGTCTCGAAAAGCAAACATGCTAAATAAAGTCATATTTTCAGTCTTGCTTTCATTGTAGCATATGGATTCCTGCTTGTATGGATTTTCCTGCTTCTATGGTTTACATAACAGTATAACACATTTGGTTGAGTATGATCCTTTGGTTGAAGTCAAACGAGCCTTGATGATGCCCCTCATGCTCAAACTTGTTAAATACTATACTTGTTATATCATATCTCTTGGACTGAATGGCATGCTTTTTGGGTTGAACTTGTGATGACTAAAGTGTTGTAATTGTTCTATAGTATAATGAGTAAACAAACTGGCAAAGCTTCATGGGATATAAGAACCATAAAGGTTTTTATTGACCTGTGCATTGAAGAAGTTGAAAAAGGGGGAAGAAAAGGAACTAGCTTGACAAAACCTGCTTGGACAAGTATTGTGGACAGCTTCACTGCAAAGACTGGAAGAGTCTATACGAGAATTCAATTGAAAAACAAATATGATACTCTGTGAAAGGAGTGGCAGTTATGGGATAGGCTGCTCCGTGAGACAGGTTTGGGATGGGATGCCGAAAGGAATACTGTTAGTGCCCCTGATGATTGGTGGGAGAAGAAAATAGTGGTAATGGTTTAACTTTATTTTAGCTTGTATTTTCTCACATGTTAATGTTTTTTGTATAATGTATTATATTTTTGGTGTTGAATGCGCAGGAAGTTCCTGGCTACGAGAAATTTAGAGAAAGAGGGCTTCAGTTTCGGGCTGAATTGACTCAACTCTTTGGGTCTGTAGCTGCAACTGGACCACAGTCATGGGCACCTTCTTCCATGACACTTCCAAGCGAAGGAGTTCCTGAAGATGATATGGAAGAAGGGTCTGAAGATAGTGATGAACTTTTAGGAGTACCAACTGGCATAAGCGGGGAGTTTAATTCGGTCACATTCAATGACAATAGTGGAGGAAGTGGAGGCAACACTGGGATGAGACAGGAAACCATTCGTGGGGGTAGAAGCACAGGTGGCAGTCGACCTAGTAGCTCATTAGGGGTTAGAAAAAAAGGTGAATCCATGAAGAAGAAACCCACTACCACTATGAAAATAGCAGATGCACTAAGCAGGATAGCTCAAGCAAATGAAAATGACTCTCAGCGTGAACATGAAGAGATTTCAGAAGCATGTGCTAGGAAGCTAGAAGAAGAAGCACGTGCTTATGAGACGTCAATTGCCGGAGTCATGGAGCACCTTAATGAAGTTGATGAAGTTACTGATGATCCTAATCTGTTTGGCCGGTGCACAACACTCCTCATGGACAAGCCAGCTGCAAGGGAGATGTATGTGGCTCTGAAGAACAAGAGGGAAAAACTCCTGATCTTCTTGAAGCATGCAACCAAGGATTGAGACTTCATTTGTGTTGCTTATTATAGTATTTGACTACTTTTTGTGTTGCTTAGAAGATGACTGTGATAATTTGTGTATATTTTTAGGAATTATGTAACCAGCACTATTGTATTATGTGACTTCCAAATTTCTGTAGGAATTAAAGAACTTATTTTCTTGTTAAATGTTTAGTAATTTCATATCAGGGTTTCTAAATTTTATGTCTATGTGCACAGGACAAGACAAAAAATGGCTGATGAAATTAAAATTGCGGAAAAGTATCGAAAACGACGGAACAAACGGGTTAATCAAGTTGCAGTAGCGGTTGGTGGATACGCTTCTCTTCATTTGTGTAAAGAGCCCCAGCATACAAGCATTTATACAGGCAAGGCATGGGTAAGGGATGTTTTACAAGGCCATTCCACCCGTTGTTATAACATGTTTAGGATGGAAAGGGAAGTGTTCTTTAGTCTTTGCACAGAATTGCAACAACACGGTCTAAGGGAAACTAGAAATGTTGGGATACATGAAAT